AAAAAAAAAAAAAAAAAAACCCTTTTAAAACTAAAACACTTATTGCTGTCTTTTACGTAGACTTGTGGACTGAGTGACGTCGTTGTGACGGTGTTTAAAAGTTCACAACATGACTCTAACAGCGTGATCCTCTAACAGCAAAGAAAATGAACAGAATTTATTGCAAACCTCCATGACCTTCGAGCTTTTATTAAGGTTATAAGCTTTTTTACGTGAGAAGTAATCTCTTAATTTGATTTTAAGTGTCCGAAATCTTGGATGGATGGATGGATGAATGGATGATAGATAGATGGATGGATGGATGGATGGATGGTGGGTGGATGGATACATGGATGGATGGATGAATGATAGATAGATAGATAGATGGATAGATGGATGGATGGGTGGATGGATGGATGGATGGATGGATGGATGGATGGATGGATAGATGGATAGATAGATAGATAGATGGATGGATGGATGGTTGGATGGATGGATAGATGGATGGATGGGTGGATGGATGGATGGATGGATAGATGGATAGATAGATAGATAGATGGATGGATGGATGGATGGATAGATAGATAGATAGATGGATGGTTGGATGGATGGGTAGATAGATGGATGGATGGATGGATGGATAGATGGATAGATAGATAGATAGATGGATGGATGGATGGATGGATGGATGGATGGATAGATAGATAGATAGATGGATGGATGGATGGATGGATAGATAGATAGATAGATGGATGGATGGATGGATGGAAGAATAGTCTCAAAGATTGCAGTTGAAGATAGCATGGTTCATCTGTGGTCAAAGTTTGAAGGAGCCAATAGGACTGTTCTACTTTTGTTCTGTCCTACGATGGAAACTAAAGGAGAAGGATGAAAAAAAACAAAACACTGACCAATATCCCAGGAGCCAGGACTCTCCATTTCCTTGCGACCGATGAAGTACCAGACACAGGCCATCCAGTGAGCCAGCAGCGCGAACATGGACATGAGCAGCGTGAGGACCACGGCGCTGTACTGGGAGTAGCGCTCCAGCTTCTGGAGCAATCGCAGCAGACGCAGCAGACGCACCGTCTTCAGCAGGTGGACGCCGAAATACTGAAAGGAGCAGAGGTGAAATCACACCACGTCACGTCTCCGCGATGCCGACAAACTCACATCAGACGTGCGATGAGCACGGACAGAGACAGGGGGACTCACCACGCTGACGTTGAAAGCATAGAGCAGGTCAAAGGGCAGGGCGGCAATGAGATCGACAAACAGCCAGGTGGTGACGTAGTGAACGCAGATGGAGCGGGCGTCGTACACAACCTGACCTGACGTGCTCACAAAAGTGGTTCGAAAGTTCAGCACAATGTCTGAAAAGAACGACAGCGATAACGTGGACAAGAGGTGAAGTCAGGACAGGACACAGTGAAGGACAGGGAGAGTTGAATGGGAGATTTCATTCATTTGTCAACATCAGACATTTAAAAAAATAAATAAAAAATAAACAGTTTGCGTTTGCTTTCCAAACATCTACGTCACTCTCTGCCAAAGTTGGGAAAATCGATAACTGTGGCTCCAGCTGATTTTTGTTTAAGCACAAATTGTTAAAATCAGTTCGCCCAGTGATTCCCAACCCGTGTGCTGTGGCCCATTAGTGCGCCGTGTGGTCCGAAAACTAATATTTAATTACTGCAAATAATATTTCTTTGCTCTTCAAAGCATGAAAGGTAGAACAATTAAACACTCTTCTGCTAGGTGGCAGCAGATAGCTATGAAAAAAAAATGAAAAAAAAGATAATCACAGCTTGAAGAAGATCTTTGTGAGTGTCTTTCTTCAATTCCTGCCAGTATATCAGCGTTGTCTTCAACTAAACAGGAGTGCATTTTTAGTAAATTTAAACTAGAAGATTATTATATCTCAATAAATATACTTTTTGTGAGTTTTTTGTCTGGTGGTGTGCCGTGAGATTTTTCCCTGATGATAAATATGTGCCGTGGCTCAAAAAGTTAGCCCACATGAGGATCAGTAGACCCGCACTTCCTCTGCTCTGAAATGCAAATTTCCTCTGTGTATAAAAGGATAAAAAGATACTAAATTTCAGGAAGGACAACTTTTCTGCCAGTCAGTGAAAATTGGAAAGTTTTTCTCGAGCGATTTCAGTTGTCTTCTTTTAGATTTCTAACGTCTCCCTTCGTCAAATGATCTGTGTGTCTGGTTTGGTTTAATGTGACTCGCAGAAAGTCCCCACGAATACCTTAGTTTTCCCCCACTGGGTTGAAAACAACATTTTAAAGACGAGGTTCCCTGATTAAAAGCTGTAAATAAACAGAGGTGGAGGAGTAATCTGAGACCTAAGAGCTAAGATTTCAAATAGAGTCTGCATCACCCAGGCTGACCCGTTCCTTCTTACAAATGAGACACGACACCAGACGGTCCTTCTGCCTGTGTGCGGCTCCTATGATTTTATTGCGGCGGCGGCGGCGGTGGCTTTATTGATGGAGCAGAGCTCACACTTGTTGTTTTCCCATCAGAGTTATAACCCACCGGAAAAGGCACGCGTTTCCTAGTGACGACACAGCGAGCAAAGAAGAGCTCGAAGACGAACGAGACGTACCGTTAAACTCCGAACGACTCATTTCCTTTCGCTGCTGCACCTACAGCGTTATCAGCTGGAGTTAAAGCTCCATCACGACCGACTAAGGTTCTGGCATCGTCGTTGGTTTTTACGACAGACGACAGACCATGAACTTTATAGGTTTGGTAAAAAAAAATAAACGTGAAGAGCGAAAGCAATTACTTAGGTTTTACTAAAGTGTGACGCGAAGAAGTTGGTGTCAGTTAACTCAGGCTGAGAGGCTGCTGCCTCCAGTGGTCAGTTTGTGTCACTGAGGTCCTCAACTATATTTGTGAGCGGGCCAGAAATCTTCTGGACAGACACCTTAGGGGCCAGATACTGGAATAAAAAAAACTTTATTTTGGATATTTTGAAAGGGGTTCCAAACTCCTGGCTTGGGGCCCATTTCTGGCCCGCTAACGCTCCACCTCCAGCCCATAATTATATGTCAATAATGACCTAATTATTATTGGTTTGTCATTTAAATGCAAAAATAGGAATTATGAAAAGTAAGAATTGGACAGATATATTATACAATATTTGACGTATAGATTAGTTAGCTTTAGTTTATTCGTTTTAGACTCCTGATCTAAGGTACTTATTATGTGAGAAATGAAAAACAGTGGTTTCATTTCTAGAAAGTCTACCCACAGTAAAACCTCATTTTTCCCAATCTTCGACATCAATCAGGTGACATAGGAGCTGCTGGTTTACTGCTGCCTCCAGTGGTCGACTTGTGTCACTGAGGTATATCCAGGTTTCTTAAAACTCAAAGTCACAAAAAACACATTTGAACTGAACGATGAAGGGAGCGCTGGATCGACAAGCGGTCTGTTCTGTTGGCTGATGTTAAATCAATAGGTTTCCTCTTGGACTTTGGAGCCAGAGAGTGAGCGGTTTACGAAGTGCCACACACCTGATGTGTAAGGTTGTAAAAAGGCTGTCTGAAGATGTGAAAAAAAAGAAAAATATAATTTATTATACGGATGTATTTCTTGGGGCTGTTTTTTTTGTGTGCATATTCTTTATATTTGTCTGTATATTCTCTATATTTGTGTGTATATTCTTTATATTTTGTGTATATTCTTTCTATTTGTCTTTATATTCCCAAAATATTTGTGCATATATTTTCTACATTTGTGTGTATATTCTTTATTTTTGTGTATATATTCTTTATATTTCTCTGTATATTTGTGTGTATATTTTCTACATTTGTGTGTATTGTCTTTATATTTCTGTGTACATTCTTCATATTTGAGTATATATTCTTTATATTTCTGTGTATATTATCTATATTTGTGTATACATTCTTTATATGTGTCTGTATATTCTCTATATTTGTGTGTATATTTTCTACATTTGTGTGTATATTCTCTATAAGTGTGTGTATATTCTTTATTTTTGTGCATATATTCTTTATATTTGTCTGTATATTCTCTATATTTGTTTGTATATTCTTTATTTTTGTGTATATACTCTATATTTCACTGTATATTCCCTATATTTGTGTGTATTTTCTTTATATTTTTTATGTATATTATCTATATTTGTGTATATATTCTTTATATGTGTCTGTATATTCTCTATATTTGTGCGTATATTTTCTACATTTGTGTGTATATTCTTTATTTTTGTGCATATATTCTTTATATTTCTCTGTATATTCTCTATATTTGTGTGCATATACTCTACATTTGTGTGTGTATTCTTTATATTTCTCTGTATACTCTCTATATTTACCTTCATTTACAAACACTTGTACGTCTGTGTCTGTGCATATTATTTATTTTTGTGTATATATTCTTTATCTTTCTCTGTATATTCTCTATATTTGTGTGCATATTCTTTATCTTTCTCTGTATATTCTCTATATTTGTGTGCATATACTCTACATTTGTGTGTGTATTCTTTATATTTCTCTGTATACTCTCTATATTTACCTTCATTTACAAACACTTGTACGTCTGTGTCTCTCTAAACCAAAAATGCAGATTCCCAGTCTCTGAAAGTGTCGACTCAGATGGAAACAATCTTACCCAAGATAAAAAGGATTTCCACCAGGATGTCACTAACGCTCGGCGGACTCCTTGGGGCAGTGCTTCCACCGCTGGCCCCGCCTTCATCCCGCCCTCCCACCACAGTAAAACAGACGTTGTAGGGCACGGTGACAGCCACGTAGAAGGTGGCCAGCAGGATCAGCCAATCCCAGCCAGCCTTGAAGGTGCCGTAGTGAAGGAGGATGAAACGGGACTTCTGGATCGCTGCCACCTTGTACTCTGGGATTGGAGGTTTGTCCCCAAACATGTTCTACATTTGAATGACAGGAAACATCACCAAGTCAGTTGAATTGGGGAAAATGTCAAAATCAATTAATGAAAACACAATTTGCAAGATACTTCACGGGCTATTAGGACTTTTTCATTTCCTTTTACTACCAAGAAATGAGAGCTCTCTCTCTCTCTCTCTCTCTCATTTGTTTCCAGAGTTTTAGTGCAAAGGATTTATGAAGCGCTGAAGAAAAGGCAGGCAGGAAACGACACCGAATATTGGGACGACTGCAGGAGACATTTAGAAATTGTAAAAGAGTGAGTTTTGAATTGCTAATGAAGAATCAGTTTACACACACACACACACACACCCAGTTCGTATGAAAGAAGAAAATTGAATTTATGAGATTTTTCCTGCTCTGTGCTGCGGCTGGAGGCTAAATGACACCAGAAGTTAATTTCTTCTACCTTCCTGGTAACACAAAGTGCGTATAATTAAACACACAACGGTTTGGTTCGAACAGAAATGACCGTGAATTTCAAAATGATTTAGCATTAGCTAAACGTTAGAACCCCGGTGAAACAGGAATTACCTGAGGACGACACGGATTCAGACGAAACAAAGTTGTGACGCAAAAAGGTCAGAAAACCAGCTTAGAAAACTGGAGACTTGTTCAACTATTTTGGGACAAGTTTTTGTAACTAGTTTTGACATATTTGACCTGAACTCTTGTATTTTTACTCTTTCCTTAGCATTTTTGTTTAGCCTAGCGTAGTTTTTGTGCATTTTCTTTTAGCTTTTAGCAACATTAATGCTAAGGTGTAATTATTAAGAATCATTTAAAATGATTTAAAGTATCTTTCTGTATGACTCTGCTCTATCACGTATGTATCATGTCCACGTTGAATTGACCACAAACAACAAGGTGTCTCAGTGTCTTTCTCTGTTGATGCAGAAACCCAGCAGTTGAGGTGTAAAAAAAAAAAAAAAAAAAAAAAAACGTCCAGCTAAACTCACATGCAAATAATATTATATTATATTCTCTATTTGTGTGTATATTTTCTACATTTGTGTGTGTATTCTCTATAATTGTGTGTATATTATCTTTTTGTGTATATATTCTTTATATTTCGCTGTATATCCTCTATATTTGTGTGTATATTTTCTACATTTGTGTATATATTCTCTATAATTGTGTGTGTATTATCTTTTTGTGTATATATTCTTTATATTTCGCTGTATATCCTCTATATTTGTGTGTATATTTTCTACATTTGTGTATATATTCTCTATAATTGTGTGTGTATTATCTTTTTGTGTATATATTCTTTATATTTCGCTGTATATCCTCTATATTTGTGTGTATATTTTCTACATTTGTGTGTATATTCTCTATAATTGTGTGTATATTCTTTATTTTTGTGTATATATTCTTTATTTTTGTCTGTATATTCTCTATATTTTTGTGTATATTCTTCATATTTGTGTATATATTCTCTATAATTGTGTGTATATTTTCTACATTTGTGTGTGTATTCTCTATAATTGTGTGTATATTATCTTTTTGTGTATATATTCTTTATATTTCGCTGTATATCCTCTATATTTGTGTGTATATTTTCTACATTTGTGTATATATTCTCTATAATTGTGTGTATATTTTCTACACAAGTTTTTGTAACTAGTTTTGACATATTTGACCTGAACTCTTGTATTTTTACTCTTTCCTTAGCATTTTTGTTTAGCCTAGCGTAGTTTTTGTGCATTTTCTTTTAGCTTTTAGCAACATTAATGCTAAGGTGTAATTATTAAGAATCATTTAAAATGATTTAAAGTATCTTTCTGTATGACTCTGCTCTATCACGTATGTAAGATGTCCACGTTGAATTGACTCTGTTGATGCTCAAACCCAGCGGCTGAGGTGTAAAAAAAAAAAAAAAGTGCAGCTAAACTCACATTGTTGATCTTGAGTTTGCTCTTGTCTTGTTTCTGCAGGTGTCCTGACAGGTGATACAACACAGCCCTGCTGCGGCGGCGGTTGGCGTTGAAGCCCGGAGGGCGAGTCACCCTGTGCACCTCTAGTCCCGTCTCCTCGTCTGCAGGACAGGGGGTGGGGGAATGAGGGGAGAGAAAAAAAAAAAAAAGCCGTCAATCAAAGTCACAACATCACAGAGTGAGATTTCAAAGAAGTTTCTGTTTCACTTTCACCGCGCTGTCAGAACGGACGAGGGGGAGAAAAAACCCGTCCAAACCCGTGACGATCACGTCTGACTGTGATGTGTCTCTGTCACACAGGTCAGACCCGTAGCTCTTTGTTAGCAGGTCTTCAGAGCCAGCGTAATATTCTGTGTGATATATTATGGTCTCAGAATGTTTGGTCTGCCTGAGTCTGGACAAACCTGGCTGAGGAAATCAGTGACTTTTGTTGCTGAAGTTTCCCTCAAGGCTGATTTCAATCAAGGGTTACGATGTGAAAGTCTGAGCTGTGGCTAACTGTCCAGGAATGTCCTGGAGCAATCAGACCTTCGCCCTGCTTTAAAAGTCTGTCCAACAGCGAAATAAAGCGAAAATAATCTTTTAGGACAGAGGAGTCAAACTCATTTTCACTTGGGTGGGTTGGGGGGGGGGAGGGTGTGTCACTCGAAGGGCCGGTTGTAACCGTAAGACTTTCTGGCTTTCTGGACTATAAGTCGCTACTTTTTTCACACCCTTTGAACCCTACACCTTAAACAATGATGTGGCTAATTTATGTTTTTTTTACGGGCTAACGAAGTTCGTACCGCTAGCGATCAATGACTTTTCTGCTAGGCTACTGTGTGATATGCTAGTAGCATGTGAATGTCTGCGTGCGTATATGTGCGCAAGATAGAGAACGGTAGCGAAAGTTGAGCCCGACTTCACCGTTTCTGTTTACCTAAGCACAAAGTGAAGGGAGTTAGCCCCCCTGAGTCTGGACAAACCTGGCTGAGGAAATCAGTGACTTTTGTTGCTGAAGTTTCCCTCAAGGCTGATTTCAATCAAGGGTTACGATGTGAAAGTCTGAGCTGTGGCTAACTGTCCAGGAATGTCCTGGAGCAATCAGACCTTCACCCTGCTTTAAAAGTCTGTCCAACAGCGAAATAAAGCGAAAATAATCTTTTAGGACAGAGGAGTCAAACTCATTTTCACTTGGGGGGGTCGGTGATGATGCGGCTAATTTATGGGTTTTTACGGGCTAACGAAGTTCGTACCGCTAGCGATCAATGACTTTTCTGGTAGGCTACTGTGTGATATGCTCGTAGCGTAGTAGCTGTGAATGGCTGTGTGCGTATATATGTGCGCGAGATAGAGAACGGTAGCGAAAGTTGAGCCCGACTTCGCCGTTTCTGTTTACCTAAGCACAAAGTGAAGGGAGTTAGCCCCGGAGCTAACGTTAGCTTCAGCCCTGGAGCAGATCACTTCGTCTCCGCTGTGTATTTCAACTACGGTCGGGGTGCTAAAGCAGAAAAAACGCTAACGTGTAACCAGCCGTGTTACAGTCACTATTCGGGGAAAAAGCATTTATTTAATTTAACGTGAAAAAAAAAAACTTTTCTGTGTAAATATCCCATGTTACAATCTGGACAACTGTGGCTTATTTTTTTTCTTTTGAAATTGAGTGGGTGCGACTTATATTCAGGTGCGCTCAATAGTCCGGATATTACGGTAACGGCTTTAGTACTTTAGCAACCCTTAAGGTGTCTTTAGATTCATTTGTGTGGATATGTCGGATTAGCTGGAGATTATTTTAATTATATAGTCGGTTAATGTTATATATTTTCACTTTTCAAATAAAAGAATCTGATCAATAAGCACACATTTTCTGATGTTTTATTTAAGTCCGTTTTTTTCAGGTGCCTCGATGAACTGAAGACAAAAGCTGATCTCTACGGTCGTCCGGCAGAATCTTCTGCATTTCTGAGTGTGTTTGCTGTCGGCGTTCGAGGGAATGGAGTGTAAACGAGGAGTCGGGCCTGTGAACGCCTCGGGGTGTTTTCCCCTCCTGATCCTGCTGTGACTTCACATGGTTCTGATTCTTAGGATGTGCAGCCAGCTCTGTGGAGCAGCGTGTGTGACAGGAAGTGAACTGGCTACACATTTTAATTAACAAACGCACAGCCAATTAATGCTGTGTATATACAGCACAGGATGTGTGTGTGTGGAAGTATGTGGCGTGCCGCTGCGCTCTGTGCCTTTATTTCTGAAATATTTCCTCTCGGCCTCATTAATCCGCTCTGCCTTTACAAAAAGTGAGCTTTTTTTTTTGTACTAAGTCCATTAGGAAAAGTGTTTTACTACAGCCAGCTCTTCTAAATGAGTGTTTTTCAATCTTGCGTTCGCGACCCCAGACAGGGTCACCTGGAATTCAAATGGGGTCGCCCTGAAATGAATAGTTACTGATATATATATATATATATATACACACACACATATATATATATATATACATATATATATATATATA